TGCAACTCTAATTGGGAGCTCACAAAATTCCAGGAATTGTAAACACGCGTACGATAGTATTGAATATTCATATTTGAGATACGCTGTATGTTAATCCAATTGAATGCAGGCCACATACTGAACGTTCTTGCAGTAACAAAATGGAGCTTTGATTATTACCTATCTTGTTGTGCCTCTGGTCGGTTGCCTGAAATTGCGGCAATTGTTATGGATAGGAATGTTTTCTGTAACAAAACTGACAGATGGAATTGCTAACTTTAGGATAACTTAAAAATATTTGGTACCGTTGCGGGGTTTGTTTCCTGTCACCTTTTTAACTTAGTACGTACGTAAACTTTTTTAACTACGACCACGGTAATATTATCATACAGTATTGTAACTTCATATAAACGGACGAAACGCGAACTTTCCTTCGAAATTCAAATCTCGGTATGCGCTCGATATGCAAAAGTCGGGGGTGTCGCGAATGTGCCACGATAACAAACGGATGATGTGTTGTTTTTGAAACAGTAAGCGCTCTTTTTTATAAAAATAATTACAACTACCTACTACTTTTACATATTATGCATATAAATGGTATGGTGAAGTCAGTGATATCATTTTAATTTGTTTAATTTTCATACAAAATAAAATTTATAAAATCAGATTTGTATGCAAATTAAAATTATTAAAATTGATGATTTTTTCAATTTTCTGACTTCACTGAGTATGTATACCATTTATATTGTGGTGATCCGGCTCGAAGGACCAGGNATGGGATTAGATATACAGGAGTAGTTACTAAAGTAACCGACATAGTCTACAGACTTGCCGACGCGGTACAAAGTATGTAAACCATCTGCCGTTTAGGCAAATCACTCACTCGTTGGACCGATGACCTGGTAAAGGTCGTGAGAAGCATCTGGATGCAGGTAGCGCAGGACCTCTTTAGTACAGCAGTTGACATCCATGGAGTAAGAGGCCTCCCCAACCCGTCTGTCCAGCGTGGTCAAATTCTCCATTTCAACATCATCATCATCTGAGCCATAGGACGTCCACTGCTGAACATAGGCCTCCCCCAATGCTTTCAACGTTGACCGGATAGTAGCGGCCTGCATTTTGCGCCTTCCCGCAAACTTTAAAGGTCATCTGATAGATAGATAGATAAATCATTTATTTGCATACACTTAACACACATAAAGAGTAAAGTTGCAGCATAACAATAATAAGAAAAGAATAGAATACAGTAGAATACTAGTTATATAAGCATGCATAAAACAAACAAAAGCAGTAACAAGTGGAAGAATACTTCCTGCATGATGTGTGTCGCAGCGATGCAAAAAGCAAAGAGCTCAATGTAAACACTGCCCTGAAAAGGGCAGAACACTGATTTTCAGCTCTTGCTAGGGAATCCGCGAAGCGCACGAAAACGAAATGAACCCTCCCACCATCCGCTATCAGTAAAAATGTTTAAAAAACGACTAGGGGAAATACCAATCAATATCATACTAATATTATAAAGGCGAAAGTTTTGATGTCAGGGTGTTCTTTACTTCTCCACGCAAAAACCACCGAACGACAGTTTCACTAAAACAATCCTTTCATGTAACGCGTTTACACTGTTTATCTCTTCTGCGCATACCAGTCGTTTCAAGTCACTCCAAAAATCCATTGGTGTCAGGTCCGAGGATCGTGGTGGCCAAGCTACTGGACCCCTCGTCCAATCCACTGTTCACCAAACGTATTATTCGCGCACTTGACGTCCTTATTGTGGGGGAGCACCATCTTGCTGGTATTAGAGCATTTGGTGTAACGCTAAGGGTACGTCATCAAGCATTTCGTCTAAGACGTCTTGCAGACACTCCAAGCACCATTTTGATTAAATTATTCGTTATTGAATACACTTCAGTCATTTTTGTATTATTTATAACGTGATTTGTGTTTGATGGATTTCTCAGTTTTTTACAAGTGTCAAAAAGACATTTTAAAGACAATGGATTGCAATAGATATTTAAAAATACAATAAAAAGTTAAAAAGTCTCCATCGCCATCGCCAACAAGTGATGTGCATGCGTTACGATAATTAGTGGTGTGTTTAACACATTGTCGATAAAATAAAATACTCAAGATTAAAAAAAAAATTTTTCGGGCATTATTTTTTTACGGATTTGTGTTCAGTATCAGTAATATAGTAACCTCTGTAAATATGGCAAGAATGCAAAGTAACCCGATTTAGCATATTTTATTACTAATAGTCTTTTCTCCATCTGAGTAAACTTATTAATAATTTCGTTCGTTATATGCGTAAAAAACTTATATTAAAATTGTATAATATTATGAAGGCTACCAAACAACTACAAAACAAAAATTGGGTCAGCCAGTGTCGTCCAAATCGTCACAAAATTATTCGTATCTTAAAAGTCAAAGTCAGATCCTACTTACATCTATTTTGACTATGCACCAACTGAGGCCAAGATCTTTTCTTTGACATCGGAATGTCAGTCAGTGGCATGCGGAAACGCGCATCATTCGTAACGTAAAACCTAAAATACCGTTTAACCGACGATTGTGGCGGTAAGTACTGGCAGCTAGCCAGGCCATGATCATTGTGGTGGACCAACCACTTTTATTATGTAAGCTGGATAGCCTCAGGTGATCGAATGCTTTTCTGTTGTCGTCATTTTGAAGTTTCTGGCTATCAGTCGATTGGTTTTCACTGTTATATGCGATTTAAGCTCATATAATTATTTAGTTATACAAGTAAAGATATTATAAACTATCAATGTGACTGAATAAATATACCACAGATTACTAATAAGTTATTGTATTATATTATTAGCTAGCGTCGTTCGTTTCAGCCAAATGGCGTCCACTGCTGGACAAAGGCCTCCCCCAAGTCTTTTCATAATGAATGGTCCTGCGTAGCCCGCGACCTTTACCAGAAGATAGCGTCATAAATATTATGTAGTAAAAAATTGGTAGGCAAAAAAACACTTAAAATCATTAAAAAAATATATTGATTGTGTATAGTACCAGTTAGAAAAAGAAATAATTACTTAATTAAATAAGACTTGTAAGTTTTTATGAAAAATACATTTTAAATAAATTTCATAGCGCATACCTATTTAATTTTGTCAATTAAAAAAGGATAATATGATTTGAAAAGATTATTTTATATTAATTATAATCATGTCGTATTATCATAGAATCACAAATCAAGTTACATCCGAGTATAATTTGACACCGAAGATTCCTCCGAGAAATCCTAGCACTTTGGCTATACCCATCTGTCGTGATGTCAACTCAAGTCTGCGGCGGCGCAGCGGGTGTCTGACGTATGTTTGGCCGGCCGCCACGGGATCGGCGGGAAACTGCGCCGGAACGTAAGCGCACCAATGCTGCAGTACCGCCAGACGCGTTGCGCTAGCGACTAGCGTCGATGCGCTGTGACTGATTACATTGTCTCGCTGAAGAGCGAAAGCACACGATGCGTTGCGGTTGCGGCGCCGCTCCGCAAAGATTTCGGCGTATTGCGCGCGACGCAGCGCCCGCGCCGCTCGTGTGCCCGCCACAGATACCTATTCCATGTAAGGGTGAGGCCCCGTAAGTCCGTTGCGTCGCGTCATAAAAAATATATGGAAAACGACGCTCGCTGCGTCGACACTGCGAAATTTTTGTATCGGAGGGGATAAAAAAAGGTTAAAACTCATGAATATTACGATATAAATTGTATAAGTTGCAGCAGTAGTACGCGAAGTAAATATTATTAATTTAATTCGACAACACTAAAAAAAATATCAATGAATTTAGATCATACCCAGTACCCACTATCATAAACCACGGCTTGAGACGTTTGCGGCACACACCATGCAGTCTTGAACGTCATATGAAATTAGAAACTGTAATTGGTTCGCGGCTCTGATCTTTAGCAGATCTTAACCCATTAGCACTCGGTGTCATTTATATTACGACAAGCGACATCAACACGCGTCGGCCGGCATTGCTTCTCCTACGTCAAACATCCGCAACTATGGGGAAATCTTAAAATAATGTCGACAGGTTATGCTCTATTTGTCTCGCTTGCCCACCCTGAATTTGTCGGTGAGAAGGCAAGTAAAGCTGACTTTAAAATGAGTAGACCCCCTGGACCAACCTCTTCTAAATTCTCTACATAATACAAGCTATTTTACAAGACGGGAATATTGACTGTAACGTGATTTGGGATTACCAAATCACGTTACAGTCAATATTCCCGTCTTTAATACAGTCTTCTATACATTCCTCTATACCAGCGAAGGTGGATGTGCGAAAAAAACTGTTAAGTCAATTGGCCTCTCCAAACCTTCTGGTCAGCGAGGGGAGAGTAGGCTAATGCCCGTTTTCACCATCAATCCCTAATTTTTAAGTGACCCATATGTAAACAAGATTCCTGTTATTTGTTACCATAGGGGTCACTTAAAAATTAGGGATTGATGGTGAAAACGGGCATAAGTCTTCCATTTGCCTCTGGTATATTAGGAAGTCATGCTCTTACTGTCGAGTAGAGTTAATAACTGATTAATCATAAAAGTTGGTGTGATCCAGAATACGAGCAGGAATCCATTAGGACGCGCTATCATACATTAAGATATGAGATTTGACGATAAACAGAATCTTGTCAGGAGATGAATCTGTAATCCTGATAATTATAGCCATATAGAGGTAAGATAGCCAGTTCCTCCGTGGTTGAGGATTCCGGGTGAAGCTCGCTTCCACCTTCGGCCTGATCATCACTTACCATCAGGTGAGATACAGACAGGCCAAGAGCTTCCTCGTTGTGGATAAAAAAAATAAAAAAAAAAAAAAAAATAATCTCTATCAGATATCTAGAGAAATATCAAAGACGGTACAGTAGATTTATCAGCCATGCCAACATTCCAGAGCGACAAAGCAAGACTACTAGCTAGCATTTTCTTTCGATATCGAAAGTTCAGAGTAGACCGCTGATCTTGGACAGATCTTGACCCATTAACACACGCTGTTGAGTATTTTTGGCGCGCGTTACGCCGCCGCTCGACGCGCCGAGTCGCGCGATGCTCGCGGCACCATGACCACGCGTGGCATAAGGCGGAAGAAGTCCTCCCTAAGTGAGGTCAAAGTGGCCGTGGTTGGTGCGCCGTCAGTCGGCAAAAGTGGTACGTCCTTTTTGGAAATTTCGTGATAGTGATGTGATGTGTTTTTTTCGACTTCGTTCGAAATTCGAAAATGGTCTTTTGGGCACTTATGCGGCGGTCTTTTTACTGTGTTTATTGTTTTTTTTTTGTGGTTTTCAATGTGGAATTAACAAGCAAAAAACAGTGTTTTTGAGTTTTATATTTTTATGTTTTATTTTTATATAAAGAAAAAGAAAGGGAAGCTTAAAAAAACTGAAAAACTAATTTAACAAAAATATAGATTCAGAGAAAAAAAACTATTTTTCCGAAGTTTATATTTTACTTCATAAGTCAAAGTTGTCAAAATTAAATTAAATAATTCATACAAAATCGATGCACTGTAAGAAATACTTAGCAACATGAATTGCTTAAATAATATATCCTAGATTAAGTAGGTTTAGAGTTTAGACGTTAGGAAAAAGCATCTAAATTAGATAACACGTAAAATTTTAAGAATAAATCCTTCAACTTAAATAAATAAAATGAAAAATAAATTAAAACAACAAGAATTATCAGTTTAATACCCCGTGAAAGGGCTTTAAACACTTGACGTCACTATCGCCCACAAGGTTGTGACTATAGTGTAAGTGTGAAATTTCCCAAAATATATTAATAATAAAGCCTAGTAACCTCCATCACTCGACATTTTTTTTATTTTTACGCCAGCCAAGTTGGGTGACCGTATTCCGATATTTAGCATCGTCAGCTGTACGACAAAATCGTTTGTGTACGCACTGATGAGTCAACGGCGATCTGACGTTCCACCACAGAAATACATTTGTTGAAGTGTTATTCCAAGGACTGAATATTTCGAGCGTAAGGCCATAAATGTTGTTTAAATATCAGCACTGAAATCGGGAATGCGAATTAAATTATATCAAAAGCAGTCCCGAGCCAAAGCCCAAAGGTGTTCGATAAACAAGATAAGATTTTCAAATAAACTTACAAATAAAATGTTTTCAAGTTTTTATTGCAAAACTCAGTCAACGCGCACTCGCAAAACACTTACGATCTGTTTACTTTACTGCCGCGCGAACAGATTGAGAACGATCTAGCTGTCTCAGGTAGACATTGGTGTAATTTTATGATCACACTCTCAGTATAAATCTTCACCAAGCCTCAGTATATCTTCATAACTGATTATTACACTAATCCTGTAAAATTTACTGGATAACTAAAATCCGTATAATATTGAAAAGCTTTCAGGTTGACTGATTTATTTAAATACCTTGATATTTTACAAAGACACCCTTGATACAGACATAACATTACAATTCGCTCATAATGTACACAAGCTTAGCTTGACACATTCAGTTACATAGTTAGATTGTTGGAAAATTTATGCGTACCTACCAACTAGGTAAAGAAAATGTAATAAGTAATTATAATTAGTGGTTTACATAGTAACGATATCATTAATGTATATCGGTTTTACATAGTATTTTAATACTAAGGTACTTGATACAAATAAGGCCTACGTTCTAATAAGGCCTATACATCAGAAAACACAGATAAATACATCCGACCGGGATAATACTTCAAGGACACGTACTCATATGCCCTACAACCCGGTAGAGTGCAAAAGCGTCCCGATCCACGATCNTTGTTTACAAAAAATCAAGACTAAATGATGTTCCTAAACTGATTTATTTAAAAGGTTTTATGTGTAGGCCTTATTCGAACACGGTGTTTTAATAAGCCCTATACAAAAAAATAATATTGTTTGTTTTTGATATTTTTTTTGATAATTTAAGTAGGGAATCATTACTACGTTACTATGAATTATAAATTTTATCTATAATTTGTGTATTATTTTTAATAAGTGGAATTTAAGTTTATCTAGAGATATAGTATATTTCTGTTTACTTGGTATGTAAAATTTTGATAACGCAAACAAATCGACGTGTTTAATCAAAATCAAAAATCAAAATCAAAATCAAAAATATTTATTCAGTTTAGACCACAAGTGGCACTTATGAACGTCAATAGAAAATGTAATGTTATAAGACCGCATTTTGTTTAATACAACCTCAATTTTAAGGTCTACAGGCATTTGAATCATATAGGCCTTATTCCGTGTAGGTGATTTAATAAAGCCAAAATCAGTGGTTTCGTAATTTGCTTATTTTGGATAGATTTAGTTAAAAAAAATTGTTATTTTTTGTAATATTGCTAAAATTAAAGGATGGAAGAAGTTAATTAACCTTGTTTTTGTTGACTGGCGTTAATATTTATTGAAATATAAGCATTTAAAGTTAGGTAGGCCTTATTTGTATCAAGTACCTTATTTTATATTAATAAAGCCAAAGATTAATTTATAATAATTAGTTTAGGATAAAGCTGTACAGCGAATTTTGCATTTTGCTTTGCGAATTTCGTAATATTAGCTGTTTTATTTTAATGTTCCTGGACGTTCTTTTCTGTAGATCCATAACTTTTTCAGTTTAAAGTTTAATGTTTTTGGTCAACGAATTAATTTCCTGTTAATTTATGAAAGTACCTACTTATTTTTCTTTTATTAATTTATTTTTCTGGTGCAATATTTAAGATGTTTGTTTCACTTCCTAGTACTTACTCAAATAACCTGATTTGAGCTTGCATGCTATTCTCGAGTTAACGTAAAAAATGTGGAAAGGTGTCAACATCATCCAGAATGCATTAAACCAGGAGCGTCTTTGCAAGCCTACTTAAAAATAACCATGAAATTTAATTGTATCATCATTATTAACTTATTAGTTAGCATAAACCTAACCACCTGCAGTCTAGGAAATGTAGAAAACTATTTTTCACTAGACTCCCTAATACTCATGTCTATTTCCAAGCATAATATTGCTTATGGTTAAATGTAGGTACACTATAATAGTATGAGGAGAACGGCTCTGGCGTATTTATAAGGCACAAATATCAAAAATAAATCTTTTATCTTAGCGGCGCTAATGACACTTCGTGCCGAGACCCTTACCTTAGACACCTAAGGTTAAAAATAAGGCTATTTATACATATACATAATTATTATTATTCTCCGTGCACTTTGCTTGTCTAGGACGCGTGTAGGAGTAGAATCGATGGAAGGCGGCCATTGTTGAAAAGTTGGGGGTTTTCTTAAATAAAAATATCATGCCACGTGCAAAGGATTAATGTACTGATGGCACGTCAAGCTTAAGACTGTGGGGCCCTATGTAGTTGTAATAGAAAGGATTTTGCATCAAAAATGTGTAGTCTGATGTGCTGTGTCGTCTGCATATGATTATATTTACTGTTTTTTTTTTGTTATATATCTTTGTTATGCAGTCAAATTAGTTTTAATTATTTTCATGATGTCTTTATTTCCAAACAATTAGGAAAATTAGGCCCAGTTAAATACATATTCTATACTTATTTAAAAAACTGAAAACGCAATTTTATGATAATTCAATCGCATATTTAGCATACGGAAAACGCACAGAGGTCTTCAAACGGGATTTTCGGTTTAGCAAACCTTTCATATTTATACAAGTATCATGTGGGTATGTAATATGTAGGCATTAATATACCTAGGGATAGGTATGAAGATCTGTGTACTTTTGAGACTTGAGCCACAAAATGACATGACAGCCTAAGGCGATTATCACACTGCGCCACGCTCCGCCGCGGTCCGCATGATTTCATATAAAAAATCCCGCGCGCAGACGCGTAATCAGTGTGTTGTGCCGCGCGTGTTTTCTATACAAACTGAGGTACTTCTTGCATACAATGATTAAATCTGTCGTCCCGCGTACCGCGGCGGAGCGCGGCGCAGTGTGATAATCACCTAAACGACATTGTCGTGAGTCTGAAATCAACGATTAATTCATAAGTCCACGTAAACGGTCGACTGATATTTTTGGCCCGCGACCAGGTTTGTCAGTTTGGGAACTGATTTTAATATACATATAATGACGAGCCGTCAAAAAGCCCTGTAAAAACGTTTGTTTACAAACACATTGTCACCGAAATAGGCGTCCTAGATATTTTTGCGAACTATTTTCGTACCAATTAAGAACTTTGGAAACACAAACAGGGTTATTAATGGAAGTACTGTCGCGTACTTCAGGAAAGTAATTTCTTTGGAGTACAGTAGACTGTACTTCTGAGAAAATATACAGAATACAAAGATTGCGCTTACTACTACTATTCTGCGCTTTAACAAACAAAAATGTATAGGTGTGGTAGACATTTTTGTTGTTTAATTTATAGCGTTAAGAGTTCAGAGAGCTCAGATGGAAGAGCAGACGCCCGGCAAGCGAAAGGTCGTGGCCCTCGTGGGTTCGAACCCGCCTTAGGCAGTTCGATTTTTTCAAGCTATTTAGAATTATTATTTTGTTGCAAAATAATGCCTACATTTGCAACTAAGTAATAAGATGCAACTGTATTTACATTTATGTTCTGTCGTCAGTTCAAAATATCCCTGGTTCTCACCCATGTTTCAAAAATCTTTTTATCTTATTCTTAAGCTCTGATATTTTTAACAATAGTAAAACTGTATGTTACATAATAGTACGTGTTCCCAAAAATATTCCTTACATAACTTTTAAATCATCATCTCTACAAATATGATTCCGGAACAGTAGGTCAGCTATTGGAATTGTTTAAAATATTTATGTAATAACCAAAATAGAATGTGCGTACGTAACAAACGATTCCTGCGAATGCCGAACAATGATAGTACTGTTCAATTTTATATTTGGGTCAATGACTATCCGTACCGAATATTAAAATGTTGGCATAAAATCTTGCACAATCCCGAATGTCATAAAATAATAACATGGATTAATATTATCTTTTAACAACGTTGTGTTTTATAATAGGCATGTAAACGAGTGAAATTTAAAATCGTTGGCATCCTTTTAAAATAATACTCACTCTACTCATTATACATAGTAACCACATTCCCCAAATATGAGACAAATACAACGAGTTAAAATGACGCGGAATGTGGACTTCGCAAAATGATCACTGGACTCAAAATACCTTATAAAATCCTTTATAAAAAGCACACTAATAAGTACAGATAAAGCTACCTAGCAAAAACCATTGTACTAATACTGTTTAACAATCATAATGTTACTCAAATTTATGCAGAGCACGTCAAGACATCGTGCACTGCTGGCAGGAAGCTTTTAAGACAAGAGGCTGTGTGCACTGTGCACCTTCTAGAGACCGAACATGAAGTGACACGACCTACTTACATTTAATTTTCAGCTTGTGTACCTTGTATAATTTAAATATGATTTTCAAAAGGAATGACGTCACACTTGCATACATTCTATCAATTTAACTGGTGAACATATCTTAAAGGATACGAGTACCTACATCAGTTTGATCGATAGTATTATCATGCATGACATTTTAATACGAGTAGAGACGACTTTGGGGACAATAACTAGCCAATCGTTATTAAAATTTCTTAGCGAAAAGAGTCGCTTCTCAAACTTAAATAATAACTTGAAAAAATCATCCCGCCTTAGGCAGTTCGATTTTTTCAAGTTGTTTATTTAAAATAACTAGCTATCTGTAAGTGGCATTCCATTTGTTGAAACTGATGAAATAATTAATTATGTAGGCATTTTACTACTTGCAATAATAGAGCTGCTGCTCTATTGAACTTGTGCAGGGGTACTAAACCTTGCCCACTCAAACAAAGCTTATTACAAGATAGTTTACCTATCTTCAGTAACGTTCTAATATCAGATTTTATACACACATCATTCTCCTTTGAAACTGTATTTGAAAATATTTATAAAGCCCTGTACAGTTACGGTTACAGCATTTTATTGCTCTTTTTGTTGGTTTATAAACCACGTAAAAATAACATTCCCCTGGCGAACATTCCCCTGTCATTTCATAGCACAGGGTACTGTTCATACCACAGGGGACTGTTCATACTGCTGTTTTCCTAGGTTTTGACCACTAAAATAACGTCTTTTTAGTAGGTATTATCTCAAAATTTCACTGAAAAAGAAGCTACGCGAAACATGAGAAGAATTTCTAGAACAAAAACGTATAGCTGTGCAATTATGATATCATCGACTTGAAACATTACCCTACAAGAAAAATTGAAAAAAGAAGAAAAAAGTAAAACTTTAATTAAAATCAGTTAAAGATATGAGTTGTCGTGAGCATAAGGCTGTAAAAAAGGTTTGGAGGGAGCACTGTGCTAAGTTTCGTGCAAAAAAGAAAGTCATGAAGACATAACAAATAATTTGTGTTTCTTTACGAGATCGAATCAGAAATGAGGAGATCCGTAAACGAACTAAAGTCGGTGACATAGCCCGACGGATTAGCAAGCTGAAGTGGCAATAGGAAGGCACATAGTACGCAGAACTGATGGCCCATCGGCAGCAAGGTTCTGTAGTGGAGGCCGCGTGGACGTCCCACGCTGCGTTTTACGGTACACAAGGTGGACCGACGACATTATAAAGGTAGTAGGAAGGCGCTGGCAACTTCGAGAAAGAGGTTAATCGTCGAATCCAACTCGGCTGGGCAGCGTTCGGGAAGCTTCGCGAAATTCTCACGTCCGAAATACCGCAGTGTCTTAAGTCAAAAGTATTTGACCAGTGTGTGTTGCCAGTGATGGTGTATGGCTCTGAGACGTGGTCGCTTACTATGGGCCTCATAAGAAGGCTCAAGGTCTCCCAAAGAGCGATGGAGCGTGCTATGCTCGGAGTTTCCCTGCGTGATCGAATCAGAAATGAGGAGATCCGTAGGAGAACCAGAGTGACTGACATAGCCCGCAGAATCGCTAAAATCAAGTGGCAGTGGGCGGGGCACATAGCTCGAAGAGCTGATGGCCGCTGGGGCAGAAAAGTTCTTGAGTGGCGACCACGAGCTGGAAGACGTAGCGTGGGCAGGCCTCCCACTAGGTGGACCGACGATCTGGTGAAGGTCGCGGGAAGTACCTGGATGCAAGCGGCGCAGGACCGGTCTTTGTGGAAATCCTTGGGGGAGGCCTTTGTCCAGCAGTGGACGTCTTTCGGCTGAAACGAACGAAGAGCCAGTGAACGCCAGACCTACGTTATTTTATAAAAGAAGTTTTTGCTTAAAGAACACATCTTTAGTATCAGTATCTGAAAAAAAATTAATAATGTTACTTAGTTGCTAATTAGCATGAAAGACATTAATTAGCGTGATCTCGAAATGTATTTGTAATATTGCTAATTTTCTTCAACACGAACCCACCCAATTAGCTGTAAGCTCTCTACTCTAATACTTTCAAAGATGGTGTCATCTATTTGAAAAGGATGCATCCTCTGCTCACTAATACCTATACTATACCTAATGAATGTAACGTAGAAGCATGTAGTTGTAGGTATATAGACTATACAGGGTGGAAACGTTAAGTGTCTCACTCGATTACCTATTTCTAAACTATACAAGATATTGAAAAACTGGTAACTGATCCTGAAAGTGATTTATGAGCTGTAAGAAAGAGCTGGAAGAAAGAAACATTGAATTTTTGGATAGATCCAGTTTATTCTGTAACCTATTATTGATACCATTGGATAGAGCTTGTGAAGCACTTTTAGAATCAGTAATCAATTTTATGATATCATGTGTAGTTTTTAAAATAATGTGACTTTACCAAATGTATGGAGGCTGGAAACATTGAATTTTCGGATAGATCCAGTTTATTCTGTAACCTATTATTAATACCGTTTGATAGAGCTCATAAAGTATTTTCAGGATCAGTATTTAGTTTATTGATATCTTGTATAGTTCAGAAATAATCCAGTGAGATCACTTATCGTTTCCACCCTGTATACATAGGTTTCTTCTACAAGCATGTTGTCAGTCGATCTCCGACATTTGCGTAAGCAGACAATAGAAATTCTCCTCTAACTGCCAACTCGCACAAGTTATAAGAATGTTGTAAGTTTGTGCAGTTTGCTAGTAGTCCAGTCAATGAATGCTTTAACAACGGTGTAGAGAGAAATCCCTGGAACACAATTTCTGACCTCGGGACTTTATTTAGACTAGTTAGGAGGTGAACATAGCAAAAGTCCCCGCCTTTAGCCCTTGAGCTGGCGGGGAGAGGGGGGTTTAAAGGTACCACTTTTCGGTTTTTCGCTTAATCCTCGGAAACTATGCATCCTAGTGACATGGCTACTATGAACCAAAAAAAGCTTATTCAATTTGCTACAGGTGAGACAATCAAGTTTTTCTATATCTTGTATAGTTTTCGCGGCATCTGCTCTAGAAGGTCTGTAATATTGGAAATTTTAATTTTGTCTTACGTGTTCCCATCAGGAGAAAATTGACTAAATCAACATTGAGCAAACATTATAGACATGCGGGAGCATGTTAAGCCTAGTTCCAGGGAGGGGACTGCATCGTGCGTATATTTAGACGAACTAATTGGAGCCACTTTTGACTCCTCATCACTCAAAAAGCACTGTGCATTAACACTTCAAATTAGGCTCATGTGTTGAGACTTGCAAGATAAACATCAGCTTCAAATTTCATAAATATACCTCAAACGGTTATTTAGGTATAGACGTTCAAAAATCGACATTTAGGACACTAAAATCTATCTATCACCTGTGAAATGTTAAAATTTACTGGTTTTTTATTTGTTCCTTTGTATTTACACAACTACCTATCTGGATGCCAAATTTGAGCCTTCAAGGTCATCTGGAAGTGGTTAGAATTTGGTCTTATAGGTCAGCCATGTAGATTTTTAGACGTCAATACCTAAAGAACCGTTTGAGGTATATTTATGAAAGGACAATGGGCAAAATGGTACCCGGCTCCAATAGATATGCTTCTAGTGTCATTTGAAAGGTCTTATCAAGACGAACAACTTTTACTATGACCACCAGCCTCAGATCTGGTTGTGTTCGAAGATAAACATACTTTTTTGCAGAATGGTACCCGGCTCCAATAGTTATATTTGTAGTGTCATTTGAAAGGCCTTACCAAGACGAACAACATTTACTATGGCCACCAGCCTCAGATCTGCGTTCGAAGATAAACATACTTTTTGTGTAGTCGAAGTATCACACGTGTCCATCGTATGGTAGGTACTTAGGTTATGCAAGGCATGAAGGGTTTACTGCTCCAGCATCCTTCCTTAACTCTATAATTATTTATAGGGATAATTGTGAAATAAATATTTTTATTTGAAGAACTGCTACCCCTTATTAATAAAAAGTTATACCTAGGATGAACCATGGATTAAAATGACATTTCCATACCAAATGACAATTTAAGCCAGAGTTCAACTAGGGTGTAACTTAATTTTATTAATAAAGGGGTTAGAATTTTATTACTTCTTAAGGATTTTATTATGGGTTGCTAAAGTGAATAAACCCACAAGACAAAATAAGTCCACCCACAAGATGGACCGACGACCTCATAAAGATAACGGGAATACGCTGGATGCAGGCTGCAACCAACCGGCCATTGTGGAAATCATTGGGGGAGGCCTATGTTCAACTGGATGTGCTATGGCTAAAATGATCATGATGATGATGATGAAAGAGAATCAAGGGCTAATAGCTTGGGTAGTTCGTCGTAGGTATAATCCTTTCCTTTTCAATGCTTCTTTTAGTTATATTAATAGATTGTAGTCATAGTACATACTCGTATACATGGATGATTGTGTTATACTTTGTTATAATACTTAGTGGAATTACTGCTTTCAAAACGTGAATTAGAACTGGCCCCATAGCAGATATTTTCCAAAATCTAAAGGCCTTTTGAAATATATTATATTGGTTATGGCTATTGGAGCGGGTACCACTTTCCATACATTTTTGCCCATCATCCTTTGAAGCTAATGCTTATCTTGCAAGTCTCAACACATGAGCCAAATTTGAAGTGTTAACCCTAGAGTGCTCGCGCTATGAGCATTTTGCCGCCCTCTGCAAAAAAAAACGAGTTATTTTCTACACGATGCGTTTGTTAAAGTCAAGCGTTTCAGTAGCTGCCTCCCCATACTTCACCTCCATGTATTAGAAATTATAAGAAATTTAGTGCGCAGGTGACCGCAATAGAGAACGATTGTTGAACGTATGTCACGTTTTGCGGCAAATTGCTCACTGCGCGACTACTGACGTAAGTAAAATTTGTGTGTCTCATTTTTAGTGNGCACATGTCACATGTAAGGAAAACCTTTAAGTGTGCTAATAAGTTTTATATTTGATGATGTATGTAGGTAAAAACAATAGTGTTTCTAAGATTTCTATAAATATTTCCTAACATTTCGAAAATATTTTTTTTTCTTTAAATTTTAACCACAAATCTTTAATAAACGTTATTTTCTAATAGTGTATGCTTTATTCTATAATTTTTAACTGATTTTCATATTTTTAAACTGTTATTTGACACAAAACCGGACTTTAAGTTTGGGCGGCAAAATGCTCATACGCGAGCACTCACGTTTCACGGAAAGGCGCGACTACTCTAGGGTTAATGCACAGTGCTTTTTGAGTGATGAGGAGTCAAAAGTGGCTCCAATTAGTTCGTCTAAATATACGCACGATGCAGTCCCCTCCTTGGAACTAGGCTTAACATGCTCCCGCATGTCTATAATGTTTGCTCAATGTTGATTTAGTCGATTTTCTCCTGATGGAAACATGTAAGACAAAAATAAAATTTCCAATAATTACAGACCTTCTAGAGCAGATGCCGCGAAAACTATACAAGTTATAGAAAAACTTGACTATCTCACCTATAGCAAATTGAATAAGCTTTTTTTGGTTGATAGTAGCCATGTCACTAGGACGCATAGTTTCCGAGGATTAAGCGAAAAACCGAAAAGTGGTACCTTTAAACCCCCCTCTCCCCGCCAGCTCAAGGGCTAAGGGCGGGGACTTTTGCTATGTTTACCTCCTAACTAGTCTAAAAAAAGTCCCTAAGTCAAAAATTGTGTTCCATGGATTTCCATCTATAATGCTTTATTGACTGGACTATAGGTGTTATATAAAGCTTATATTTTCGTCTAGCTTTACTTGTTGGATTCAACTGAAGAGTAAAGTTACTGAGAACTGAGGAAATGTATTAGAAAAGGAAATACACGTGTATTTCCTTTCGAGTACTCGTTAAATAACTGTTTGTACATAAAGTAAGATTACGAGTACCTCTAATCAAGTCTTAGTCTGAGTTGCTTGCACCACCTAACTTCAAACGTAACTTTTAACGATATCCGGTGTTTTTGTATGAAGTTTGACAGACTTTTGACGTTTGTCAAAGTTAAAGTAAGATTGTGCAACCCAGCCTTAAACTTTAAAAACGCCCAGCGCTATTTCATGTGCCTCAGACATCCTCAAAACAAAAATACGGTTCAATAACCGTATA